GATCAAAAATAGTTCATTTGACCACTTGACATTCTCTGTGAGTTTTCATTCTATACACTTAATTTTTTTTTGTTTGAAAGAGCACGGTAGAGCCCTTTTATTAAACTCTTAAGGCCTCTCATTCCTAAAAAAAAAAAAAGTAAATTTTTGTCCGAAATTGAGATAAATGCATAGGAAGATAGCCCGTGATCTGATCTTTCATAAATGACAAAAAATTTTACTCTGCACGTCCCCTTTTTCCAAGAATTTATGAAGATTTTCGTCATCCTCTATTTGAAAAATAAGCTGTTTTTTAAAAAAAACCGAAAATCTTTTTTATTTTTTATCGGTTTATGATTTTTTGATCTTGTGGCAAAGAATTCTCGGAGAATCTTCAATCTATATATATATAATTTTTGTTTATTTGCAAGAGCATATCAAGATGCAGGGTACCATAAAGACCTTTCTTTTTAAATTGAGCTTTATATTTATTATATATACAAAGACTTATGTAACTAGACACACATTTTTGACGCGCTTTTTGATTCATTGAACATGTAATTCCCTTTCTCCGCTAAAAAAAGTAAGAATTTATAAAAAAAAAGACTTTGTGGTGCCCGGCATCCTGACATGCACTTTCTAACAAAAAAAAATTAAACGTACAGCACGAGCATGCACCGAAAAATTGTGGACGTAAAATAAGCTATTTTTGACCCTTGTTTAGTGAATAACTTGCTCAAATGTCATGGTATAGGACTGAAAATTATTACCATAACCTCTCCGCTACAGTGCCAACATATGCTGAAAATTTCAGCCAATTCGGATGCACCTGGGCTAAGATCGGTTTTTGAGGGGAGGGGAGAGACCTTAACTTTTAAAGAAAGAAAAAGGATGAAAGGCTAAACATCTTGAAAGTCTCGCAAAAGTTTTGTGCTCTAATTATAAAAGTACTCGTTTATATAGTTTTAACGAGACTTAACTCCTAAATAAGAGACTCCGTCATGCTCAACCAGAGATGTCCATCGCGGTTGAAAACTGACCGCTGCCGCGCCGCGACGATAAAAGAGAAAAACTAACGCGTCGCTACCGCACCGCGGTGATAAAAACAGAAAACCTACCGCGACGCTGCCGCGATGATTGTTAGAATAATGTTGTGAATTTTACGATCTGTGACTGTTCAGGACTAGAGCTGTTGTTACCAATCGATAAGATTCGTTGAATCTCATAGTTTTGCACTTGCAAACATTGAAATTCTGTTCGAATTCATGCATTTTTGCATTGTTCTCCAAAAAAACCTACCGCTACCGCGCCGCTGCCGTGATAGTTAGTTAAAAAAACGACCGCTGCCGCGCCGCCACCGCCATAGCGGCAGCGGTCGCGCCGCGATGGACATCTCTGCTATGAAACACAATGTAATTATTCTTGATAGCAAAAAATTACTTTTTTCTATTCTTCTTTGGAACATATCTCTTTCCTTGTATTTTACTTAAACCTCTAGATATACAATAAAGAAGTAGTTCAAATATTAAAACGAGATGTTGTTCATATACAGTCTGTGAGGGTTTTTGATTAGCGTCTGTCACTGTCTGTAGGAGGCCCAAATTTCCACCTTTTATATTTCAATACTCCTTTTAGATCGTGTTTCACAAAACGAAAAGAAAAATTTAAATATATTTACTTGAAGTTGTAAAAGATCAGTATAATCTCCCCACATAGAACTTATAACTGATAATGGAATAATTATTGATCCACGTGGTGGTAACGAATAAGTAGTTGATTCAGATTGATCCAAATGAAAACCAACACCAATATCTTGATCAATAGGTTCAAAATTTTGTGTTTCTAAATTAAAATGAAACATACATATGATTTCGAGAGAAAAAAAAGAATTAAGATAATAATTTCTTACTACGTCCTTGAGCAGCTGATAAAGGCTAAAGAAATAATTGATTAGTTGGGTTGTTTTTTTTTCTAAATGATTTTTTTAAAATCTTACTCGTGTTTTAAATTTTGCTATTTTAGCCTTTATGTCACTATCTATATCTGTTAAATTTGTAATAGACAATTCTAAACATGATTTTTGTCCTAATGGAACACGACCAAAATCAAGTGTAAATTGTTCATCATATTGAAATATACTAAAACAAAAATGAAAATGAAAATCGTTGAATAAAAATGAAATGATTATAATATACTTTTGTTCATATCGAAATTCTACATTCATTCCTTTCATTAAAGCATTTATTTTAAGAAAAATAGGTTGTGCTGCATTTTGTATATAACATGGTATATGCCAATCATCATTTAATGTTCCACATTCTTGAGCAATAAACATTATATCAATAAAACATGGTTTACCATGATAAAGAATTCCTTGTCGAGGATTTATTTCAATTAAACATTGATTTTTATCAATACAAGTTGACTTTAAAATTAAAAAAAAAATATATATAGACAAATACTTTAATTTTAATTCGAAATTATCATTTCTTCATACTTCGCCCCATTGAAAATATGTTGGTAATCCATTAATAGCTTGTAATTCAATTTGTTGAATAATTGGAACATGAAGAAATGATTCGTCAATATCAAGTTCAACTGGTGATATATAAGCACTTGGTCGTTGAATAATTGCTGTAATCTCAATAGGTCTTTAAAAAATCAAAATCAAAATGAATAGAAGAGAAGAAAAAAATTAATTTTACATAGTTTTGCCATCTTCTACGATTACTTCTAAATGTTCTAATAAGGCACCTTCTTCATTAGCCAATAAACGAATAGGCATTTCATAAACTTCGATAGGTTTCAGTGTTAAATCAGTACCATTTGGTAGAGTTAATAGAGATTTAGATTGATCCTAAATAAAAGAAAATATCATATCGATTGGTCGGAAAGTTGTTTAAACAAAATATTTGTTCACTTTTGACGTATTTTCGACAAGTCAAAAGCTATGAATTTGTACTCTTTTAGAATATGATCATAGAAATTTTCTCTTGTCTTTCGGCAAAGCACTTCAATTTTCGTTTTCCCTAAATATTCATTTTTTTTGAAAAATCGACAATTATTTTACGTTTAAAGAAGCTCTTGAAAAAATACTTCGCGAAAAGCTACACCTTACATTTTATAGAAAAATTTATAGGGTAAATAATCTTGAACAAAAATTGAGACAAATTTTCTAAGCTCATATTCGAAAAGAGCGTCCTAATTCGTGGTTTTTGATTTGTCGGATCATCATCCTGATCTGAGACTCGTAGACGGATGAAGCCACGATAGTTAGGCCTACGCTAGATTTAGACCTTATAGGCAAAGCAGAATTTTAACCAGTTTCAATCAGTTGAAATTTTTGCACCGATCGCTCTTCACTAATTGGAAAATATTTAATAGATATGCCATTTTTCTCTGATAAAAGTTCTACAATTAAGGTCGAAAGTTTTTTTCATCCTAAAAACTCTTCTTTTCAAAGGTTGAAATAACATGAAGGCAAACATTGGCGTTTTTTTTTCAAGTATATATATCCTTTGCCACAGATTGCAAATTCTTTTCAGAGCCGCATCCTTATTATATACTGCAAAATACAAAGTCGAGAGGAAAAACTTTATGTGTACTGTCCTCCGAAAGAGATATAAAAAAAAGTTCATCATCCTTACTTCCTTCTTTTTTAACCTCCTAGTGCGGATTGTATTTTTACAAAAGAATGTTAAACTTCTATCTTAGATTCAAAATATTTCGCTGGTCTGATTGCATACAAGAGTCATTAATGCTTTTTTCATTGTATCTACTACTTGTGTTATTTTCTACTCTAAAATTTAAATAGAATTTTTGAATTACATACTTTATTTACTTCTTGCACTTGACATTTCGCAATAATTGGACTTAGATTTTTGATTTTGATAATCTTTTGAATTGTTTCTCCATATTCAATTAAACCAAAATCAAGTGTAGCCGGATCAATTTCTATATCAGGACCCTAAATAAATTTAATAATTAAACTTTATTCAATGATATATGAGAATATCTTACAATTATTTCAGCTTCAACATGTAAATATCCATAATCATCAATTCCATCGAGTTTAAATGGTAATTCAACTTTAGCTGGACCTACTTTTGTTCCAGTTAGAATCAACGTAAATTGACAAGTAGCATCAGCAGCTAAATAAATAAATTTATTTTTCAATACAATTAAAACGAATTTCGAAAGACATACGAATTTCTGCAACAACTGGTTCAACATTAATAATTTGTTCACCAATCATATTTGCCCAATTAACCATTAATGGACTAATACTTGTATTGGTTAACTTTGAAAAAAAAACAACAACAAAGTTCATGAAAAGATCTTATCGAATAAAATGACTACTTTTTATCGGAAAGATATGAGCAAATCTTACGACTCATTATGTCTCTATAACATTAGAATGTTTATTTTCTTCTGTAACTTTTAGCTGTAATAATGTTTTCAATTCTTCAATATTGTTGTTGAGGATAAAAAGTGACTAACCGTGAAACTTTCTCAGGCCAAGCTCTATAGGTATATCTATTGATTGTTATCTAAATTGATGGGTATCATAGTCAAATCAATAAATCAATGCTTAAGAAGGTTCACTTTTTCGATTTCTAACGGAAGAGAAAAGTACATCAATTTTGCGATGAATACTTTATAAACGTAAACATTTCTATGGACTAATAATAATAAGTTTATCATGTTCTATCATTTGACGTATATAGATCTTTCAAAAATGGCAAAAAAAAAATTTCGCTTCTAGACACTTGAACAGGAGAGTACAGAGATATGCGAAATTTTTAATTGTCATAAGAAACCGAGCATATATTGAATCTAACAGGAAGTGAAAAATTTTATTTCCATTTTCGAAAGATGCATATATATGAAATGATAGGATGTAACAAACTTGAAAACTCAGGTACTTTTCTCTACTCTTAGAAATCGAAAAATTGACCCTTTTCACGCATTCATTGTTCGATTTGACTATGATGCACATCAATTAAGAGGATAATCAATTGGTATACCTATAGATCTTGGTCTGAGAAAGTTTCAGATTGGTTGTGTTTGTCCTCAAAAGCAGTATCAAAGAATTGAAAATATTATTAAAACTAAAAATTACAGAAGAAAATAAAAATTCTAATCTTTTGGAGACATAATGCGTTTTAACATTTGATCATATCACCGATAATTGCTATAATATCTCCTAACTGGTATATAACTTCTCAAAGCATGAAAACTTGACGAAAAAAACAGTTTTCTGTACATCATTTAATGCATCATAAGTTGCTCTACAAAACAATATAGGTGAATTTTCAAATGAGCAGTAATCATCTTATACAATATAGTCTTTTGATTTTTAATCAATTCCACTTACTTGAAAATCTTTTCTGTAAGCTAAACCTTTATAAAGTTTATCCATAAATATAATGGCAAATGGATCAAATATATATTTAAAATTTTCGCAAATACCACGTGTTTCAAATCGTAATACTATTAAATAAAAATAATAATAGAGAGCTGTTTTCCTATTGTTTTCAAATAATCAAAATCTACCTGTATAATCAGCTATTTGAATACTTGTTGATGGGATTGAAGAAGGTCTTGCAGCATTACGAGGTAATAAATCCGGTGAAGGAGCTCGTTCATTAGCTAAGTGACTTATACTACCAGTAAGATTGGTACTTGGTGATGGTGTTGGATATGTTGGAGCATTCGGTACAATTAAATGAAAGACTGTATGATAATTACCAATCTATTATTTAAAAATATAAAAGTTTTTCAATAGATAATATTTTTAAAAAGATATTTATTGGATTACTTGTGATGGAGCAAAAATAAGACGAAAATCTACAGTTGCTAATGGTGGAAATGTTCCTCGACTAGGTTCAACATGAAATTGTGATGTTTCACAAACGATTCTTTCAATTTCAATTGGTTGTGTTTGTTTTGAAAAATCTTCACGTGTATAAAGTACTGGTTCGAGTATTGCCCATACAAATGGTAATTCAACATTTCTATTTGATAAAATGAAATTATACAAAAAAAAAAAATAATTAAATTTTTACGAAAGAATCATTTCAAGTGATACATCCTATTCGATTTTGTACGTAACATAGATCTCACTGAGGTTTGAAAAATGCCAAAAGAAAGAAGTGTACTTATATAATCTCTCAAGACATTGTAGTCTATGAGACTCAAAGATAAAGAGTTATGAGCGAATCTTTGTGAAAAAATTGATAATAAAGTTTGAGCGGAAGCAATAACACTAGAAGATTGACTGACAGGAAATATGACCGTATCTTGTTTGAAACTGCTTCTATCTTTAGCTAGATTTCTAGTTCGAATAGGATTTATTATTTGGAATGATTCCTTCTTTAGATAAATGATTTAATTATTTATTTACGTTAGATTTTTGATTGTCATCTTCTTTTGACAATAAGAAAATGGATTTATTGAAATAAAACTAACGGAATATTGTGCTGAAATATCACGTATTTCAAGTTCATTTAAATCTACAGCACCACCTTCAATATCTTCAAGACGAACTTGAATTGTTTGAGCCACACCTTTAAAAAAATTCTCTATGATTGAATTATAAGAAATTAAACATATACAAAAAATAACCTTTCAATTTATATCGTAAAATTTCCCCATTATCACAAATCATAATAAATTCTTCAAGAAATTCACCAGGTAAAAGAGGATTAAATGAAGCATGTAATGAAAACGTATCACCTGGACGAAGATCAAGTGTTGGCGGAGCCAATTCAAATGGAGCTAATTGAACAGTTTCATTACGAGCTACAGTCTAATTACAATAAGAATAATTTTTTTTTTATTCATCATCAAAAGGAAATTTCTTTTTTAAACCTTAAAATTAACTGCTGGCCATGATGCAGCTGGAACAATTGCAAAACGTCCTTCACCACCATCATTTCGTCCTTTAAATTCACACATTTTACGTCCACCGACAAGCCAATAACCACAATCAACCAATGATGGAACTAAAACGAATAGAATTGATATTTTGTCTACTATTCATCATCAATCTTGTTCTTATCTATATTTTGATATTGCGAGCTTTTATATATTCACTGTATATACAAAAATGTTTTACAATAACATCTGGGAAAATTTGGAAACAGAAATAGAGTCAATCTATTTTATCGAAAGATTGAAAGTAAGAAAAAAAAATTTAATAGAGGGGAAATTCTCCTAATTCTATGAACTGGCTACTTGTTATTAAGATTTTCAATAGTTACAAAATCTACTCAAATTGGTTAAATATGTTATCTCAGTCAAAATCAAATTAATTTAACTGATAGATTTTTTTTTTTGATTTATTGTAAATATAATTTATGTTAACAATTTGAAATGATTAAAAATGTTTTGAGAATCATAACAAAAACGAAAATTTGTCAAAACTATCTTTGTATCTTAATGAAAATATTAATATTGATTATTTACGTGTAAGTACTGGTGGTGGTCGTTTAGCTAATAATTTAACGGGAAATTCTGTTCCATTTGAACATTGTACAATAATTTCATCTTGAAAAACACCTAATGTATCTGGTGAAAATTTAATATTATACATAACACTTAATCCAGCAGCTACAAGTGAATGACCCGATGGATATTGAGGAAGGCTAATACAAAAATATGGTGTTTTTGGTGGTACAATTCGACAACTATGTGCAACACTACTTAAATTTCGTAAACATAATGTTGTTTCATGAACATCACCAACTCGATATTGAGTAAAAATAATTTCAGAAGGAATAGCTTCGAATACAGGTAATAAACTTGGAAGTCTAAAATATAAGAAATTTAACATTTTGAAATTTTCGAAAGAATAATCTTACTTATTTAAAGGTCCTGTTGTAATAAGTTGATTTTGTCGAATTTCATCAAATCGTGGATTTGTTTGATAATTCGTTAGATTATCAAGCATTTTTAAACGAGCACGACTTAAATCTCTTTCTGGTACACTTATTTGATCTTTCCATAAAGTATTTAAAGTTTTCTTTGTAGATTGATGAATAAGTTTAGGCTAAAGACAAGAAAAATAATCAAATAACAATCGAATATATGTTCTTTAATCATGAATGTCTAATTTTTTATAGTTTTATTTTTCTACTTCATAACAGGAAACTCTTTTTTTGTTATAAGTTTTAGACTTTCATATAGTTTTGATAATTGATTCAATCATTTCTTTTTCTTTATCTGTTATGGGTAAATATACTCTATTTGATCATTTATATATTTACTGTAGACGTTTTGATGTAGTTCTTATGACAGAGTCAAATACGTTCAGCTTAACTTATCATTGAGCCTTTTAAAAGTGATGTGCATATAACTCATAAGACAATGGGTATGCGTTTGAATTCACGTCAGATTAGATTGTTTGATGAACGGCATGTTAATGTTTTTAAGCATTAGTTTCAATCTCGATTATTTTATCGTTCTTTATTTGCTTTCTATGTTCGTGATTGAAAACATATTATGCATAATTTTGGTACAAGAGATGTACAGAGTTCGTATAAATTCTGACAATAAGTCGCCAATACAGAGTTCACTGAAATACTGACTACACTGATATTCGCGTTCTCTTCAACATTGAGATATCAACTCTATCAAAATGTCGTTTTTGTAGCGATGTATTTCGGTGCTTTAGGAAACAGTGGTACCGGTATAGACTAACTACACTGATGAAGAAACTGATGGTTTCTGTGTGAGTTAATGACGTCAGTAAACTGACACTATCCATGGTTAGATACAGTAAGATTAAAATATTTACCAATTTTTTGTCATCATCTGTTGCTTGTTTAATACTCTCTATGGCACCTTTTGATTTTGTTTCTTCTTTAGCTAAATATTAGATTAATGTATTTGTTTTGTTTTAATGTTAATATCTAATTTTTAATACTTACACGATTGTTTAATATGTCTTTGAAGATTATAATTAAGAAAATCTCGTGGTAATATGACTTGATCTCTTGTTAATGTTTGTTCATCGATATATAAACTTGTAAGATGTGCTTCTATAAAAACAAAAGAAGAAAATAATTTTTTGTTTTTTGTTTAAAGTAACAATTGAATTCTGACTTTCTTCATCATCTTCACCATCATATGCTTGAATATGAGCTAATAAAAATGCTTGTTCATCATGTCCAATTTTTTGTAATTGATATTCACGTTTAGCTTGAATTTCACGTAAATGTTGAACATATAAACGATGTGTTATATCATCAACATTTCCTGATACAACTAATTTTTTAACAGTTTCTGGACGTATTGGAGTTTTGAGAAAATTTTCTCTAAAATAAATTATTATCAATAGTTCATTTCCTATTGAAAAAAAAATTTCTTTACCCAAGTTCTCTTGAAACAACATGTGCAACAGTAGCAGTTAATGGGTTATGAGGTATTTCCGGTAGAGTATGTCGTTCTTCAATATTTAAACCTCGTGTCGAATTACTTGCATTTGTATTTGGACGGACATTATTAGACGCAGCTCGAGATTGTGATTGAGGATATTTAGAATTGATCGGAGATGATGAATCATTTTTACGATCAATATTTGCTGATGATACTACAGCCGTTTCACCTTCCATTTTAAATACTCAGTGGTTTACAAGTTGTTAGAACGGATTGAGCACCATTTAAGATTTTATTGTCATGGATATTAACTTAACAGAGCAATTTATTATTTTCAATGTAGAACAAATTTACAAAAAACAGTTTTGAAAATTAATGAACATATCTTTTCATTTTTAGGATTAAATGATTGTTTTCTTTTTATTTAAACAAGATGTCACTAGTGTCAACATTTTTTTTAAAGTTCTTACACCGGCGGTTAGTTTAAAATAGGGAGACGGAAGAGGAATTTGTTTCTAACATTCAGATGAAATGTAGCTTGTGCTTTTTATTTCCAACTTGCATTGAGAGTTGTATAAAGGTTGTACAATTCAAAGAACACTCCTAAGGGTATACTTGGGATCGATCGAACTTTTTTCAACCAGATCGGTTCAAGTATGCTTAGGAGAAACAACTTACATTAAACCACTTTGGCGTAATTTGAAAATGCTTTGCTATATTGAATATCATTTCTTCATATGCGCAACTTTTGTCAAAAAAAAACATGCAGTCAAAGAATTTGCTTACTTTGCAGCAAGTATTTTCAAGCGCTGTAAGCTTGACCACTGAAGCCGAAGAAAACTTTCAGCATTTTATCTAATTCGAATTTCGCGTACAATCCTTCTTGACTTATAAAAAAAACAATACTGTTACAAACTATTGACAACATACAGCCCCACATTTTATAAGTTTGCTTCATTCCGTCAATCTGATGGAATACGAAACATATCTTTGAGTTAATGATACCTCAATCTAGAATAGACTTCTGCCTATCAAAGTTTTGTGGCTTCATCGTCTATGATGCTTGGTATCAATTATCATTGTATCATTTCATAGTCCAAAAAACAAAACACTTGTGTACATATCCTAAATGGATACTACTGGTTGCTGAGTAATCGCAAAGCCCAGTTGGATTTATAAGACATATTCTGTTAGATTTCTTCATGAGAAAAGTCTTTTGTTTGAATTCTAATTATCAAAAAGAGAAATACATCTTCTTAAAGTCACTGTTTTCGAGTTTATTAAAATAAATGTATGAACATGCTAGGAAGCAGAAAACTGGACTATGATACAAATTATATGCGTTGATTTTATATATTTATACTTCTTAGTCACAAACACCATCGTCAATTAATCTTTGTCGATATTCACGAATAAAGGTTTCCTCTTCATCTAATAACAAATCAATATAATCATCCGGTCCACTATCACTATTAATATCTTCCATTTGTCGATTATTACGTAATAAATCAGGTACTATTGTTTCCAATGTAGCAAGATTATGTTCATTAGCTGCAGCTTTTTCATCTAATCGAGCTTTCTTAGCAGCTAGAAATAGAAAAAGAATACTAAAAAGAAAAAGTTTAATATTCTTATTTTTTACTGCGTTTCTCAGCAACTTTTCGTGCTCGTTCAAATAAATTTGGCATTTGCTCATCCGTTGTTGATACTATAGAGTTTTTAAATTTCTGTAATAATTCTTCTGCTGCACGATCTAATCGATTACCATGAATTTCTAATAAAGCACGTGCTTGTTCAGGTTCAGCACCTAATGCTATTAATTGTGGTATAAGTGTACCGTCATCGATTAATTCACTTTCTTGATTACCACTATCATCATCATCATCATCATTATTATTATGATCATCTTTTGACAGTTGAGTAACAGTAACAAGAGTATCAATGTTCGTAAGTAACATTTCACTAGCTTCTTCTAAACGATTATTTGATTGTTTTAATGCTTCAGCACAAGCACGATGTGGATATCCCATTGATTGAAGTTGACGTAAATAAGTAATATTAATTCTACAGACATAAAAAAAAAAAGAAATTTTAATGAATATAAAAATGATAAAGAATAATATTTGAATACTTTTGTCCATTTTGAGTACGTCCATAACGATTTTGTAAACGTTCTTCTTCTTCTCGAGTTCTTTCTTCACGACGACGTTCTTCTCGCATTCGACGATTCTAAATCGATATCACGATTAACTTCTTATATTGAAGTTTACAATTATCTTTTACTTCAATAATAAATTCAATAGCTTGAGCAATATTTCCTTGTGAACTTCTCAAACCTCGTCGAGCTTCTGTTACTGTATAACCCATTAACATAACTAAATAAACAAAAATTTTATAACGAAAAAAAAAAAAGCACCAATACAAAACGAAATAAAACTAACTTTCAGTCAATTTTTCTGGATCAACACGCATCATTCGTGCTTCTTCTTCAGCCATACCAAGTAAATTTTTTGCATCAACCTTACGACCAGCATGATAAGCAACAATAGCCTATTAAATACGATCTCCATGTTTATTTTTAATTTAATAAAATAATATTTCCTATTTACTTGTAATAGATGTAATCGAACAAAAAGTACCATATGACCTTGACCATCCTTTTGTAAAGCATTTAAACGTTGAAATGAATTTCCATAAACTTTAACAAAACATGTATCACATCTCATTAATCGTTCAGCAGCATCTATCATGAATATATAAATAAATTCTTTTGTAAAAACAATAAAATTTACCTTGTATATCATTAACATTTTGCATACAAAGATAACACCATACAATATCCAAATTAAGTAGACCCCTATTAATATAAACAAAGATATGCAGAATATTCTACCAGTTCGTTGAGAAAAGCAAGCCTGAATAACTCTTAAATAATTCAAACTATTAATTTGCACTCACTATTCAAAAAGCCCACACTCGATAATGAAACTCACAAATCCATAGTTTTCAATAAAATGAAAGGTTAGATAGAATTTCCATTGAAATCATAGCATTTTTCTCATATTAATTCAACGTAATTATTTAATAAGCATTTTTATCGCTTTCTGAATATGACCAAGAGAAATATCCTTAAGTCTATATTTTAAATCAGTATAATCGATTATCCATAATTTATTAGCTTTTGATGAGAATGTAATCGATCAATTGAAAACGTTCTCTGATATATCCAATGAATGTGAAGTCTCATCGAAAAGTACCATCTCTTTGAATTCACATGTTAGGGGAAATATTGTATAGAAACTAATGTATTTTATTATCAAAACACAAAACAACCAGAGCACTTCTTGCCGATACACTTTTCCTAATAACATTAACTCCATCGACTTTTTACTTTTATCATTACTGCAGGATATTCAACATATAATCGATCTGCTTAAGTATTAGCTTCATAACAACATTTAGATATCTCTTTAATATCATTTTCTGTGTCAAATTCAACTGGTATAGTTCATTTTACAATCACAGGTGTGACTCAAATTCAGCCATCAATAAAACTATTTGAGAGCTATTTGTTTTTTTTTTATCTCGACGGACTTTTACAGCATTCAGTATATTGAATATATTTAATCGATACTTTTTTTATATATTACCAGTTATCAACAGAATTTAATAATTGTGATGAACATTGTCGAAATTCATTATCAGCTTCGCTAAATAATGCTAATGCACTTAAATAATCACGTTGTCGAAGAAATGAACGACCTTTTTCATGTAATGTCATTGCTGTCATTAATGAACGTCGTTCATCATCTGATAATGCTGTTAATTCACGTCCTTGTTGATCAGTTATACGTAATTGATATCGACTAGGATCTGCTGCGTTACGAGCATTATCATGTAGAATCTTAGTTGCTTCTTTAACAGCTTGAATTAAATTTGATGTTTGAGCATCAGCTGATGCTGAAGCAATTGCGGATTTTGGTACAGCAAGTACTAATATTGTTGCATTCGCCTAAGTAATAACTAATAAAGATAATGAAATAAAATATAATTTTCAATATACATGAATATTTTGTTTTTGTAATGATTCATTGAGTTGAATCATTCGACCAGAGCAAATCATTTTCAGATTTTGATCATGTAAATTTAATTTTTCTTGAATTAATTTTTCTAATTCATGTCCTGTACTTTGATATGATATACTTATATTTATACAAGCATTCTATTTAATTAAATAAAGATTAGATATTTTTATTATATGAAAAAGTTCTTGCATTCTCTCTGTGTCTCTCTTGACTCACTTTATTATTCGAAACACCGGATGAACGAATTTTGAGTGTTATCAAATCTGTACGTTTTTTAGAAGCTAATTTTTCTAAAGCATGTCGACGAAGATAAGATAAAGCAAGACGAATTTCTTCCGTCGTACTTCCAACTTCAGCACAAATACTTTCGACTAAGTCCTATATATCAATATAACTATATGTGAAAGGAAGAAAAACAAAATCAAACAAAGTTTATTATTCATACATCTGGGATGTTTTCAGCACCAGTATCAGTATCTGTATATGGTGCTTCCCAAAGACGAATTTTATCACGTTGAAGAAGAGGTCGAATACGATCAAGAAGTTCTTTATTATTAAATTCTTCAATTGTTGTTGTCAAAGGTGGACTAGCCATTGACAAAGGAGTTTCTCTTCGAAAATTTTCTTTTTTGCACAGTAATAAAGCAATAGGACGAATGATTATCAGATAAGTTTCATTAAGTTGCGCAAGCATATGGCAATATTGCTGGGGAAGATGAGTCATTGTCACTGCTCATGGCAAGTATAAAGAACCAATCAGTAAAGATTTCGTGGCTTGCTTTTGACGAAGTCGGACATCTATTTATTATTTATTTGTCGACTAAATTTCAAAAAATTCTGGTAATAACAAATAAAATTTGTTTAATTAGATAAGTATGTATATGCTAATTGTTAAATTACGTCTTAGCATGACCACGTCTCCTTTTTTTCTGTTCGGCTAAGTTGTAACTGCTACATTGTCATGTGAATTTCTTTCGCGTTCATTCATACATATAAATGTATATTTTATAGAAGATGGACCCTCACCAGAATGATAAAACAATGTTGTCAATATTTATATTGATGATGATTGTAACAATACCATTGTGTTTGGCTGCTTTTAGTTCTCGAAGACACGTTTTTGAGGGAAAAAATTTTGAGATGCATGGACTTTTATGGTTTTTTTATGGAAAATCCTAGTTTTCCATAGAGACGCATCCTGGCTACTTACGATCTTCCATCTAACTTTGTTCTATAGGACTGAAACTTTTGCCACTGATACTTGGAAGCAAACTCCAGAGATAAAACTTTTCTGTCTGGATTTATAGGAATCGAATATTTTCATATGAAAAAAAAAAAGTAAAATTTTTAGAAAAGTTTAAAATTACCTGTAAATACATTCTTAGGTATCTTCAAAAGAATAAAGTTTGGTGGAGATCGGAATATACCAGGGTAAGGCCCTTTGAAAATCAGGGTTTCACAGAAAAAAACTCACAAAAGTCCATTTAAACATTGTTTTACTCAAACATGTGTCTCCTTACTTTTGGTGTAGTTAAAAATTTCAGCTTGATCAATTGTACCGTCTTCAAGAAGCAGAAACAATCAAAGAGAACTTTTATTTCGCACATAATTCGAACAACCATGTGGTAAATCGATCTATTTTGCTGTACTTCCATAATGTTACTAAAAACTAACGGAATAGACTAATTTTCACAATGTCATCAACATTGGAATACGTTACAACAAATGCATTAAATTTAAACATATTCATTTTGTAAGTTTGATTTCGAATGGATAAATCATTTCTTATATCCGGAAGAAAATTACCATGACTCACCTACTCTACTAGTAACATATTGTATACACAGATTCTGATTTTTAGGCCTAGCCGACCATTATAACTAGCCAGGCCTGCAAAAAATCAGTCTGTTTGGACCTCTGATGAACAACATTCGACAAAACTCTAAGAATAACACTATCTTAAGAAAAATCGAGCATATCAAATTCTCATTGATAGATATCGATCAGTATGAATTGTGCCACAAGAAAAGTTCAACTTGATGTTTTATTGGAAACAATGTTTCTTCCGAAGAGTCCGGGATGACCAAACCGATCGTCGGAAGAGCGCCGCCCTCTTGACCCTTACACTCAAGATAAAACACTGATTGATAACAAAAATGAATTATCATATAGATGCCTGAAGATATATTTGATTGATTCAACCAACAAGTTCATCAGTGAGCACAACAGTACGATAAGTTTTTGCATAGATTAAGATCGAAAAAACAATGATAATAAGTATTAATACTAGAAGCAGACGTATTATTCTCCGTTGTAGATTAATTTCTGACTAGATAAAAAAAAGGCTGCGAGCATTATCTATGTAAATAATAAACATATGTTACTCTATTGAGATAAGTGGTCAAGCTCGAAACTGTCTTTTAATAATTGAATAGCCAAAGGCAAAGTATAATTGATTAAAAAACACTATGTAGATGAAATCTTTTTCAAGTAGTAGATAACATACTTCCTTTTATTGTTCTATACGATATAAATATAAGTCTTCTTAACTGTTTAATAAACTTTTAATGATCTCACACATTAATATTACACAATATTTTAGGATACAAAGAATCAATTTTTTTATGGCAACTTTTCGTCTGATTAATTGCATAATAAGAAATAACTTCTATTATACTAAATAGTAATAGTAACATTTATATGTTAGTTTATCGTCCATTTTTTATATTAGTTTTAATTATATTTAAAATCATAATGTATTTCCTTTGTTCAGCAAAGCTTTTGTCGAACAATTCTGTATGTTTTCTAGTATTCTCAATAAAATCATTTGTATGACAACATTTTTTCTTTCATAGAATATCACCTGTACAATACTAACATATCATAAAATAACAAAAAAAAGGAAAAAAAAGAGATGAGAAGAGCGAACACTTGTCATTTACGTTTCCAAATAAATATACGACTATCATCGGAACAAGCCACCAATACTGAACCATCATAATTGAATGATACACGACTAATTTTTGCTTTTGAATTTACGTTTTTCAATTTAACAAAACTATGCAAAAAGAGAAAATAATTATAAATCTAAACTAGTTTAAATATTGACTCACTCGACTGATGGATTATGCATATGATGACGAAGATCCCATACTTGAATTTGACCATCTAATGTACCAATAGCAAGTAACTGTAAGAAAAAAAATAATATTCTTTTCTACTATTTATTATTATATATAATGTGTTCCCCTGTTTTTGAATAACTTTTGAAAGGAACATCATAGAGATCTGCGATTTTCACAAATCGATAGGGAATACTCAAAACCATCGAATTATATTGATATTTGATTGGTCAGTAACCAATCGAAGCGCTTGGTAGAGATTTTTCAAAAAAACAAAATTTATGATGAGACTAATCGACAGATAGAATTCGTCTCTTTCGATCTAGGCAAGTCCAAAATTCATAGCAGATTCTGTTCAAGAGTTGTAAGACTTTCTTGAGGCCTTCAATTTCAGTCAATCGATGTATGGTCACCGCGAAAAGCAGCTACGCAGGAGTAATTCACCGTGCTGAGTTGAATGGTGATATTTGTTTTTATGTTCGGAATGATCTGACTCTGCTATAACCGAGATCACCATTTGATTCAGAACGATGATTTAACTGCGTTCGTGGATGATCACAGATCAATTAGTTGAGATCGGGAGTGTCAGAAAAAGTTTTATAAATCTTGAATGGAACAAGTTAGAAATGTCGGTCTTGAGTAGATCAAAAGGGAAGAATTTTTCCTATCTACTAGTCATAATAAAAGCCTAAATTGAAAGAGAAATAGCTTCAGAATATCGTTTTTGAAAACTCATTTGATTGGTTAACTGCTGATCAATTATATTTCGATGATGATCCTGAGTTTAGAAAGGTGAAAACAGCAAATCTTGATGATCTTTCTATTGAAAGTTATTGAAAAAATAGTGAAGTACATTTTATTTGGAAATGGATATCAATAACCTACTTGACTAGCACGACAAATATCAAATTTCAAAAACCAAATATATTCTTTTTCATGTACAACCCATTTAAGAAGTAATTTAAATGATGATGCTTTTGTTGTATTACTAAAAACTGGTTGCCATAAACAAAACGTATTATCAGCAGACTAATCAAAGAAAAAAAAAATTAAATAACTTTATAACAAACAATTCAATCAAATAAAAATAATTAACTAACTCGAGAAAGTAATGCATCACCATACCATTGTACATTATCAACATAATGTGAATGAAGTGTTTTAGCTTTTGCTTCAATGTCTGCAAAAGCAACAGCATATGCTTTTATTAATCGACGTTTTTGTTCATGTATTGGATTTTCAGCTAAATCAATTTGTTCTCGAATTTTTTCACTGGTTAACGACCATACAAATACTGAACGATCCATACTAGCTGATGCGAGCATTGTACATTGATCATTTATATCCTTGAATTAAATATTACTACTATTTTTTCTTTTGTTCATAGAAATTTCTTTACCACACACAGTACTTGATCTGAATGACCATTTGGTCCATGAAATACAACAAGACACATCGATGAAAGAACATCCCAGAGTGTGACCGTAAAATCTTGAAAGAAAATTCAATTAAATAAAGAAAATTCGAAATAAAGAATTTATTTTCTTTTTACTTTTGCTAGCTGTACATAGAAGATTAGGTTTAGCTTTAGCAAATGTTAAATGATTTATGGCACCAGTTTGTAAAAGCTAAACAATTAAATATAAACGAATAGTGAATAATAAAGGAAACAAAATGTTTTCGTCCTTTGTAGAATATTTGCCACCACATTAAAGACTTCGGTTTCAGCTGACTCAATCGATAGCAAATTTCTCGAAGCTTCTCCTACTTGTTGCCGAATGTTAAAATCAAAATTTTTGCTATACCTTTGTAGCATTTCCTATCAAATGCCGTATAAATAAAGGCTTCTCTTTGTTAGTTAGCTAGTTTTTTTATGAAAGCTAACTTGCGCTACGACTATTCTTTATATGCTAAATTTTTCTAATAGTTTAATTCTCATCTCAAAGGTGCTGAGATCATGGGCCTCTAACGCCGCTAGTTTTTGATGACTTTAGTTGAAGAAAAAAAAATCATAATATATACATTCAGGAAAATTTGTTTCTCGTAGTGCCTGAAATCAATTTTTACACAGAAAAAATGTGCAGAATTGCTTCCGTTTACAACTCAGATATTTCCTAGACGGAAGTATGTGAAAATCCTGAGTCTATGACAACTTTTGCTCTGTTCCTTTAGATCTATCTATTGTCAAAATTTCATTTGATGCCAAATGCTTCAATGTTAGTATCAATCCTGAGAAGCAATGGCATACACAAATCGATAGATGCTTGTAGAAAATCGAAAGCTGCAATTAAATGATTGAGTATATGCTCATCTTTTTAGTTTTGTATTGGCAAAAGTTATTAAGAGAGTCATTTTGAAGACTAGGAAGTTTTCTATTGAATGGACCTTAAACGAAGTCTCTAATATGTTACGAAGTGTTCTAGCAGGGGCGAAAACATTTTGTCTCTCGTTAATTATGCGCCATTCATTAGAAGAAGTAATATTTTCTTACTGCAGTATGTTGTGATTTTCGATTAATATCAAGAATACGAATAACACCTCGTTCACCACCAGCAGCTAATAAAATTTTTGGTGAATTTTCCGTCTTATCCTCAATTGTTGTCCATGCGCATGCAAAATATTCTTCATTGGCCTAATTTAATATAAAAATATAATTATTTAATTTTTCTTTTCTACACTCCTTACATCAGGATCAAGATATGCATGAACTAATTGAGTTTTATTTGTGTTCGTATCAAATTTATATATTTGAATCTATATTAAAATTAAATAAAGAGTAAATAAGTTTTTCTTTTGTTCTATTATTTAATTAATACTTACAGAATTTGCACCAACACTAGCAAAAAGAATTCCATTTGGATATTGTACTTGATTATTTATTTCTACAGCATAAATTTGTTGACGATGATTTTCCTATATGTTAGACGAAGCAAAAGTTGTCAATTCAAACTAAATATCAGGGCTACCACGTTTGTACTTTGATGATCTGAACGCATGAATAAGCTGTACGTATTTTAGATGATGAACGAACTTCTTCTTCTTCACCATTACTATCATCACTTTGATCATCTCCAGTTGCATCCGATGAGATCACCTAATTTTTTGAATTCAAATTACAAAATTAACTTATGAAAGAAAACAAAATATCAAGCTTCCCTTCCCTTCAAAAATCGATTTTGGTTAGGTGTAGAGCCCATCGGGTCTGAAAATTTTTTCGTTAATCAGATCCGGCTCAGCGAAGGGCTCTAATCATGTGCATGCAAATCGCATGAAATTTTCAGTCTTATATCGTGATGTTTTCGGAAGGTGCTCCATAAGCAAAGGTAAAAAAACAGCTTATTAAGCCAACCAAAAGGGTGTGGAATAGATTTTATTACTTCAAAGGGCATATGAGGCTACGTGCTCTTTTACTTTTTTTGTTCCTCCTTTTTTTGTGTGCAGAAGAAAGGTGACAAATTTCATACCTCGAAAACTGATTATCTATTTATAACAAGTGCTTTTTTTATCTAAAAAAGGTCTTAATTCAAAAAACGAGCACTACATCGTTACATTATCTTTCAAATAAAAAAAACAGCAATTAAATGCAATGAAGTTCCTATGGGAATTCTGAGAGGCGCATTTTTAAAATAAAGTGTATTTTTCAAGCAGAAGATAGCGGAAATCATCAAAAACCAAGATGCCTAATAAAAAAGCCTTTTTATTTATGAAAGAAAGATCACATCTCAGGATTTCATTTCAATTTCGACAAGAGTTTCCTAATAATCATTCAAGAATATTCGATTTGACATCGTAAAACTATTTTCCATGAAAATAGACACGGTGTCTCTTATCAAAATACTCACTGTTGACAAATAACTCGCAGCAAACTAATCATTTGTATACTATTTCATAGAGAAATGTTTGTTCTTTCATTCATTTGATTCGAAATAAGTTTCGGTGCTTCGAAAAAAGACAAAACTGATTCTCACACGATATTTTCAAATTTTTGCAGGCTGCTTTAACAGACCGAAACATTTTTTCAATAAACCGTACCAAAAGAAAAAACATGTCCATAAATCCACTCACCCCTGGTGATAATGATGATGCCATTTATTTTATTTGTTTTTTTTTTTTGTCTATTTAAAATAAAAAAAGAAAAAAGATAAATATCTAAAACAAAACGTTTAAGAATCATCCGCTAAAACAGTTTATCTTTCTATAAAAAAAAAAAACACTTTCTTTAAAAACAGGAATGAATATAATTATATTTATATATATAAAGCAAAGAAAAAAAGAACAAGTCCAATTCATTTCACTTGAAATAAATCAAACATAAAAAAAAGAAAAACAAACGGAATAATATGAACATTAAAATTTTCTTCTTTTTTTTTCTTTTTTGCATCACAGTTAAACTGCTAATTGCACTGATCAATAAAAAAACAAAAACAACACATCTATCTCTTCACATTGAATAACGATTTTGTTTATCTTTTTTTGTTCGCATATTCTTTTTCGATGATGTTCTTGAGCCATTTGTACAACATACGAATGAATTAAACCATGAACATGAATGAAATTTATCAGATAATATTCTTCGTCCATTACTAATTCCATGACGATATCGTTGTTCATATAAAATATATGTTTCAATAGCTTGTTCAAATACATTTCGTATATTAAAATTTAACATTGATGAACATTCTAAATAAGCTTTAGCTGAACATACACGTGCTAAATATTCACCTTGTGACTGTGTTATTGGTCGTTGAGTTTTTTCAGCTAATTGTTCAAGTGTTGATGGATCATTACGTAAATCAAGTTTGGTTCCAACAAGTATAATTGGTACACGGGGTGCATAACCTTAATAAGGTATATTATTTTGTTTGTTTTCAATTATAAATTTTTCTTTTTGTACATACGATTTAATTCCGGTATCCATTTACTTAATATATTTGAATAACTATCAGGATCAACAATAGAAAAACAAAGAATAAATACGTTTGTATTCGGATATGCCATTATACGAAGTTGATCATATTCTTCCTTTGAAAAAGAAATAAAAAAAAAGTTTTAAAAATGGACGTCTTTTTTTAAATACCTGTCCAGCACTATCAAATAAATTTAGAATATATTTTCGATTGTTCAATGTTACTGTTGCTAGAATATATAGAAAAAAAAATTCCTACTTCATATATTATATTTCTTTTCTAATTTTATTAACCTGCATAATTCTCAAATATCGTTGGAACATATGGATCTTGTGGATATTCTCCATCTTTATAAACAATACATAATGTTGTCTTTAAAAAAATAAATTTTTTAATAAATTAATTTAGATTGTTTTTTTTTTTTTACTTTGCCTGTATAACCATCACCTATTTCAAAATAAATAATAAAATAATTTCTTTTCTATTTGAATATAACTTACCAACAACAACAACTTTTATTTCTTCAGTTAATGATGTTGTTGTCGTTAATTTATAGTTATTCGATTTTGCTTTTGACATGTACTAAAAAGAAGAAAATCAAAGTTTGCTCATAAGATATAAAATACATGATTTGAATGTCCTCGCAAAAATTTTTACGTACGTTTACCTGTTGATAAACATTGACTATGATGATTTAATGAGATATACAAAGTATGTAGAAAAAAAAGAAAAAATTGGACAGTGATTTTTTTTTTCTTTTTCTGTTCTTCTCTTTTTTTTACTGTGATGACCTGAAGCAACGAGACGAGTGAACAAAATGATTCATTCAAATAGACGACGAGACGAGACGAGACGAGCCGAGCATATATTTATGAATATAGTTAGACAACGAATTGGAATAAGAAAATTGATAGAGGTCGTTTTGAACATGACAGATAAGATTTCACATGAAAAATTACTTTCAAGGGTGAACTTTGTCTGATAACGATTTTATTCGATTAATATCTCATCAATAAATAATTACAACGTTTTTAGTGATCTTTGAACAATTACTCTACTTACTTCGGGTATATGAATGATGACAATGAATGAATGTTGAAGGTGAAAATTTTTGTTATGTTGTTCGTAAAGTACACGTACTCACGCCACAACGAAAAAAAATCGAAACGGATAGAAAAATGAAGGGAACCTTTTTTTCTTCGTGTTCTTATTCTTAGTCGTTATAGTAGATGAGATGTTCTTTCGATAGGCTTCTGTTCTCTTTTTTTCTCTTTATTTTCTTGTGCCTCTTTTTCTTGTGCGTGTGGAGGTGTTATTTAATAATCTACATCTAGTTATTCATTTTTTCTCTTCACCGTTTCTTTAAATATGCTATCATGTCAGTCACATACCTTATTCAATCTTTTCACATTCACGCCGGCAGGTAGACAAATTAATTGATCAACTTTACTAAAAGAAAAAAAGAGAATAAATATATATATACAAGTCGCAATGTAATTATTTGATGTTGGTGTTATTGCGTCTAATTCAGCAATCAGTTTTTATTTCATACTACCGATATATATATCAAATACAGATGTCAACTCATCGATAAAAGAAAAAAAAATGCAAGGCCAAGTAAAATCGATACTGTGAAGCATATACTTTCGATTCCTATAATTCATATGTTGCATCATATATATATATATATAATCAACGAAAGAAAATGTTTATTGAAGTTCATAAAAAAAAAGAAATTCTCTTTTATGTTTGACAAACTATTGACAGATGGTTCAAATAAAGATTCAACATGTCAAATAAAATACGAAAGAAAAAAAAAGTCGAATTTATAAATTTATTATATTTGTTAAAGTAAAAATAGCATAAAAGAAATTAGGAAGAGTTTTGAGTACTTTTAGAAAGAAAGAAAGAAATTTCTTTAAATAAATAATTATTTAAATTATGAACAATACCAATTGTAAATATATACTTCTCTATTGATATGATTTCGAATGAACAAAGTGATTTTTACTATTCAATAAATAAAGGATAAAGAATAAAACGTGCTTTAAACACAATGATCGATCTAATCTCAAATAATGGGATCATTGGTATTTTGAATAGAATGAAAACTATTCATAGATTAAGTCAAAAATCTTAGTTATACATACATGTCACAAAAAATAATTAACTGAATAAAGATAAAAAAAAGATCTTTCGAACAAATATGACAATCTATTTTCTCAGCTATCGAACATTCAAATTGAGTTCAATCATTCATTTATAATATAATATGACATGTGAAACTCTATTATAATACATTATTTCCTTTTAATCCACTCGTGATTTTGATCTTCTCTTGTTCTGTATAATTTAATCTACATTGTGAGTTGAATATTTCTGAATTTTTAATAAATGAGTAGGATTAAAATATGTCTAATTATATAGTCCATAGACTAAGAATACTAATCAAGTTCATACTATCAATATTGATTTAAAACGAGATATAACATATCAAACTGACAAGGTTATATTTTCAACCGACTGATCGCTTTCCCACCGAAAGCTACAGGATTATTGGTTATCAATGATGCTGATTCTAAATATGATTATAAGAAATCTCCTTAGGTCTTCATATGTTGATTTTCTAGATTAACTAACTTTTCACCAGAAAAATAGTTTTGCTTTTCGATCTGTCTAGATTATAGAACATGTCGTGTTGTCTAGAAAACAGTAATTTTTTCTGTGTCAAATTATTATTTCTTTTTTTTTTGCAGAAAATACAACCATTCGAATTCATATGACAGGTACATATTAACACTTCTGTGTAAAAATCTTCAAGATGATATTATTTTACTTAGAAACTTATTTTTGAAAAATAAAAAACAGAAAAAAAAAATTATTGATCTATAGACAATTTGATATATATGCTCTTTAATCTTTAAAACTAGTTTCCTAGAAAATAAGGAAATAAATTTTTCATGGTTATATTCTAAATCATCATGATTAATAATCTAGAACTCTGTAGGTTTTTTTTTTTGAATGAAGAAACGATTGATCAGATGAAAATGTTTTCGCCTGAATTTTTATATCTTCATAACAACGAAAGAAAAAAAAAATGCATCAACACATCATTTAGAAATTCAATATATGTAATTTTCTTCCTAAGCAAAGAAAAAAAAAGAAATTCACAAATCTAATCAAGAAAAAAATCAAAAGCAAGAAAACCCTTATTTATTTGCATTAGAAGAAAAGAATAAAACAAAACAAAAACGAAATAAAGTACATTATAATTTGCATAGATTACATGGATGCAATAAATTTCAGAATCTTTTTTTTCTTAAATGTTATATATATATATATGCATATAACGGTAAAACAATTAGTTTTCTTATATTTAAATGAAAACATTAATAAAATAAATGTTTCTTTATGTTATATTTTGATAATGTTTTTCATTTCTTTTTTGTTGTTGTTGTTGAAGAAAACCTAAATCAACAAATAGTATTTCACCATTAGCTGCTATAATCATTATTTGTTTCGTCATAGTCATTGCTGCTGCTTCACTGTCTAATTGAAATAATTCAGTCATTATATTTGTATTATTTTGTCCTATTTCAAGTACACGTGACCAATGTTTTTGCCATTGACCATTAAAATATTTTCCTGATGTCATTGTATCTAATATGTAACATTTATCATTATTTATTGCTTGTACTGAACATGGCCAACGAAGACGTTCAGTTGATAATAATTCAGCATCAATTATTTTAATTATATTACCAGAATTTGCGTCACAAATATGAAGTGAAAATGTATAAGCAATACCTTAATTAAAAGAAATTTCGGTTTTTTACTAATTGATAAAAATATTTCGTTTCATACCTTGATTATAATAAGGTTTACATGAATGTTCAATAATAATATATAAACGTTGTCCATAAGCAGAAATTAATTTCGGTCGAGCTAAATATATTAAAATGTTCAATAAATCTTCAATTTCTAACAGTAATATTCGATTTTAAAATAATATGATTCGATATGATAAAGCATTATTCATCTATTAGTACTATTCGATAGATTTTCAAGTAAGTTAAGAGCAACACCTTATAAAATCATCGACAGCTATAAATGTTATTCCAAAGAAAAGATATATTCTTCTTAGATGTTAATCAAATTTTTATTTTCAGAAAAAACCGATTTATTAAAAATAGCTTTCAAGCTGATTATTAAAAAGACATTTTGTTCTTGTATAGAATATCGATTGATTATGTAGATGAAAATTTTCTTAAAAATTTGTCTCCGTGAGAGAATGATGCTAACAGTAGGTACCTGGATGAGAATAAGAGCAAGAATGACATATAGGCAAGGACTAGATGAGGGCAAGGGTTAACACTTCAAATGTATTAAATCTTACGGAGAGATAAATGTAATTGATTTGAATAAATTCAATAAATACCAAAAGAATGCGTCCAGGTAATCCCTCGTTTTGTTAGGCGGCTCGTAGCCTCATTGATATCTATTTATGGGTAAAATATCGGTTTGATTGACGGGTCTTACTTGAGGACATTCTCTCGTACGATATAACAAAATCTTGAAAAATTTAGTTATAGTATTATTCAATAAAATTAAAAAATACCTACTATCAATTGCAAAACATTATTGTTCCACTGTTTTTTAAAGAATTTTTGATTAGAAACATTATAGAGAGCTGCGATTTTCACCATTCAAGAGAAAAGACCTAAGGCTATCACAGTACATAGACATTTGATTGGTCAGCAATAGATTAATATAGCGAGTTCTCGGCCGAGATTTTTGAAAACGATATTCTAAAGCTATTTTCGTTTCGATTTGTGCAAGACCCACGTTTCTGGCTTGTTTCATTCGAAAATTATAAACCTTTTCTGCGATCCCGATTTCAGCTAATTACTCTGTGATAATCCGAAAAAGCAGTTAGGTGAAGTCAATTCACCGTGCTGAACTGAATGATGATATTTGCTTTTAGATTCGAACTGATCTTACACTGTAATCCCCATATTTCTGAAATTCCGCAATCAGCCTCCATATAATGAGGGAATCAGCATTTCAAAAATACTGAAATAACAGAATCAGATCATTTTGAACCTAAAACAAATATTACCATTCGATTCAACATGGTGAATTACCGCTGCCTAGCTGCTTTTCTAGGTGACTATAAGCTAATTGGTTGAAATCGGAGGTCTTAGAAAAAGCCATATGACTTTCGAATGGAATAAGATAGGAATGTTGACCTTGCATAGATAACAAGAGAAATAGCATCAAAATATCATTGTCGAAAATTCCCACCAAAACCTGTCTTAATTAGTTCATTGATAATCAATCAAAGCTCGATATACTTCGATGGTCCTGAGGTTTTTCCCTTAAATGATGAAAACTGCAGATCTCTATGGTATTGCTATCAAAAGTGATGGAAAAAATAGTGAAATACATTATATTTTAAAATAGATAGTAGTAATATTTTTCGAATAAAAATAAGAAGTCGAAATTTGTTTTTGTTTTTTTTTATTCTCAAAACAATACCTTCATCATATTGATCTGAATGATTATAAATTCTCCATTGT